ATTTAATCATAAAGGTATCTCCATATACATTTCTTCCACAAGATCCCTATTAAGAAATACATTTTTTATGTCTAGCTAATGTAAAGATCAGTCCCGGTTGACAACCAATGGTCGTAATACTCTAATTGTGGTTGAGTTTCACCACTAGTGCAAATATCTCTTAATAGTCAATTTTATAAAACAAGTGAACCCTTTTGCTACAAGTATAGTCTTGAAAATTTCTATGCTCCCATATGTTTTGTATTTAACAATGAATACCCATTTGTAACTACAATTCTTCTCAACTGGCAGAGTTATGATCCAGGTACCATTATCAGCAGTTCCGCATTCTTTTTCCCAGTAGGGATAGACAAGGCCTCTTGTATTAAATTTGGGACCTGCACATTATCCAACTTTCGAACAAAAAATTTGTAAGGGGATGATAATTTTCCATAGGTCACAAATTCTTATATCGGGTGGTTTGTGCATCATTGTGCTCCTTCCTTTTGGTTCTCATGATGTGTTAACCCAACTTTTGTGTGAATACTTGGGGAGTGTGTGAGTTATTAGTTCTGGTGATTTTCATTCTTGATTTAACATATGTCCCGTACATGCTCCTTGGGTTTTTTCTTTCTGAAGTACACACAGAGTTCTTGATTCTTAATGGGAGTTGTGAGATTTAGTGGAGTAATAGATTAATTTTTCATACTGATTTGAGATAGTGGGAGAAGAGTGGGTTCATTAGGGATATAAGGAAGGTGGTCTTGAGGTTCCTAAATGGTATCTCATTTTAATGGTATGTTAGAGGTGAAAGACTGAATGTGGGGGTAGAATATTATAAGGGTGTTGAGATGTTTGTTAAAGTTTAACACTTTGTCGGGCATCCTATTTATGGATAAGTGAATGCGAAAATTACATACCCCTAGAAGTATTTGGGTACATTGTTAGTGAATATAATTGAATGGGCCGCCTTGAGGAGATGTCCATTCTTTCTCTCGGTCACATCATTTTGTTGGGGAGTGTCAACATAAGAGCTTATATGAATAATGTCATTTTTATAGATAAGCATAAGGGACAAGGTTGGAACTATAGTAATTTTTTACATTATCAGTTGAGAATCTGAATTTTGTCATGAAATTGGGTAAGAATTATGTTGTGGAAGGTTTCAAATATGTCGGTAGCTTCAAATTTTTCCTTCATAAGAAAGGTTTAACTGGTTAGGGTTAGATCATTAATGATATGAAAAACCACTTAGCCTCATTTGTCTTTTTTATTTTTGAGAGCCCAAAATATCATTGTGAATCATGGAGAATCATAGAGAATGGATGTGTTGGTTTTTATTTAGATTTGGGTACAGTTGTCAAATATATTAAGTTAGTAAATTTCACACTGATAGAAACTAAGCTTTTTTTGTTGATAAACAAAGGAGGATACAATTTTTCAATATAATAGAAATTAAAATGTCCAAAGACAACAATTTTTCAATATAATAGAAATTAAAATGTCCAAGACAAAAAATGATAACATAACTTGACTCTCATGAGAAACAGACTCGATACAAGACTCATAGGATTGTGAATGGTGGGACAGTCCTTTTGAAATGGGAGACTTAGTGAGTACTTAAAATTCACGATAAGTGTCAGCACTGCCAATCACGTTCCGCGAGTCCATCATATAAACACCACACAAATTAGGGTGGTTTTAGTAACACAATTCATGTCACAAGTTTATTGGTACACAGTAAATGACACTTAAGTTTAGGAACAAAAAATATAGATTGAAGAATAAGATCCTTTGTGAGTTTCACACTTCCTTTTCTTTTTAAAGATGAGAGGGCGTCATTTGTGATTCTAACTGCGAATGGTGTTGACAAGAATGGAAGAATTGGAAAACAGTGATATCACCTATCATCTGATCAGAAGCTTCAGAGTCCATTATCCAATGCTGATTCTTCTTGTTGAGAGTAACAAGAGCATATGAAAAACTATCATGATGTGGTAGAAGCCTCAGAATATTGTCCCAAAAGTATTTGGAGAGTTTCAAGTTGTTCCTTGCCGATAGACTGTGTTCATGAGGCTTCTTTTTTTTATTCTATGTTTGCTTGATTTTCTCCATCACCTTTGACTTTGTTGAGCTTAATATATGCAGATTTTTTATAAATTTTCCAACAGTTCTCCTTCAAATGACCAAACTTACTACAATGTTCACACCATGGTATGTTCCCCTTTAATTTGTTGTCCTAAGATGATTTGTGAGTGTATAAAATGAAGTTGTCAACATTTTTCGCAGTGGTATCACCTACTATCATGATTTTCTTCTTGCTCTCTTCCCTCCATAGTTTAGCAAAGGCTTCACAAATAGAAAGAAGAGGTTTAGTTCACAAGATTCTTCCTCTGATTTCACTTGTGAGCACCTCCATGTGCATGTTTCGTAAATATCTAGTTGGAGCCAATATCTAGTGAGAGTGTTGAACTATTGAATAACATTCAACTCACATTGCCGCAGGTCATGTAATCTAGTTTCAAAGTCAAACAACTCAGACGTGTTGTCAACATTTGAATAGGTTTACCCTGCGACATCCCAAATATCTTTTGACGCTTTGTATAGGAGAGAGTATTCTTCAATTTAAGTGGTCATGGAATTAACAAGTCATGATGTGATCATGTGATCTTCAATTTTCTAGGTCTGATATTTAGAATCAATAATATCTAGTGCAGAATTTTTCTTGGTGAAATAATAATCTTTTCCTTTATCAAAGATGTACATGAACAGGGATTGAGACCATTAGAAGAAATTTTTGTCATCCAAGTTCTGATTGGTGATGTGGGAAGAGATTTCAAATGCCACAGAACAAAGAATCCTAAGTTTAAGTTCAGAAGTAACTTCCGAAGATGAAAAAGAAATTTTCATGTTGTATTCGGTCATGAGGTGTCGTTAAGAAGGGTTTCAATAGGGACTGCTTATCATCAACACAGGATGTCCACCAAAGAGAGAAATTGACTGTGTCGATATACGATTTTCACGAGAGAAGAAGCAGTTGCAGCCAGATGTAGAATTCCCATTCAGGATCTGGACAAGCAAATTTTGGTCACATGCATGAGATTTCCACCAAAGAAAATCATAAGGAGAGAAAGGTCGGATCAGGTTTTGATTTCCACTAAAGAGAGAAAATTCAATCCAAGATTCCTCTCGAAAGATTGTTGCCTAGAAAGTGGTTGGGTAGCGAGAGAGATGCTTGAAAGATTGGCACCGCCTGAGAAGTGGCTAGGCTGCGAGAGAAAAATCCAATCCAGGATTTCTCTCAGAATATTGACACATGAGAAGTGGTTGCGTCGCCTGCGTCTGGAAGCCTGTAGGGAGTGACGCCCAACAAAGGAGCACCTGTAGGGGAGAGCAAATCTGACTAAGGTATTGCATGGACTAGCAGCTGCAAGGAGAGAATTTGGCGGAGAAAGGAAAGGGTTTTTTTACGCTCTTATATAATGTGGAATTCAGAAGGAACTTAAAGGAAAAAGTCTCTAACTTTTTCATTCAACCAATACAAGCAAATAATAAATATATACAGATCAAACTTACCCTAATAAAATTGGAGGGAAATTCAAATCATCACGATAAGAAGGAAATCAATAAAAACACAATAATGGATAATTAAGGAAAAATTATTTCTACACGTCAAACATAGCAACAGACCCACAGTTTCCTAAACCTTTTTTTGGGGGGGGGATGTGGTCCACAGTTATATGCATACAATAATATTCATATTTCCTTTTTATGCAAAAGTGTGGGAAGAGATTTCAAATGCCACAGAACAAAGAAAGCAATGAAGTATTTGAATAATAGACTAGAGCTATTATCTTAATTTTGATTATGTAACTCTTTATTTATGGGACCAAGTTTCAGCATACGAAAGCAATGAAGTATTTGAATAATTATCATTGCTTCTCTTTAACTCATGCCGCCCTTTTTCTTACCAATGGTGTTTTTTATTTGACTCAATCAGATAATATGAACCTTTTTCTTACCAATGGTGTTTTTTATTTGACTCAAATAATATGAATCGTGATAATAAGCTTAATTAAAGAACTCTAGATGCTAAATTAGGTGTTATTTAAATTATCACAACCTTGATAGACAATTGGTCTTCATACTAAGTAAGATATCGTAGAACCAAATCATAGTATTTAATGGATAACTTTGTAATCTTAATAGCATAACAATATTGTCAAGATCATTGTTATTTAGATAACAATGTAACAAACCAACCTAGCATATATGCATTACTGGAAATGTCTACTATCAATAGTGCTTTGACAGCATCTATGATAGATTCATTCATTATGCTATTGCTTGCAAGTTTATGTTACTCAAAATCCTAAAACCATGCGGTTAGCTCTTGTAGCAAATTATGATCAAGTACACATGGTGCATTCTCTTTTAGCATGCAAGATAAATCGAATAATCACTACAAGCACGGCAAAAATTTATGTGCATAGGTGCTATATATGTTTTAGTTAAGGTTAAACAAGTAAAATCATGTGTGCCAAATAAACAGTTATGCTAAACCCAAGAATTGAATCTATTAAAACCTACTAAGAAGTGAATATATTATTATCCACCGCATTCACTGGTTAGCATAGTGATAAGCTCATATGAATAACAAAATATTCACAGTAATAATCCTCAAAAATCTCTTGAAAGAACATTTCAATCATTAAAATGTAAAATAACACGAAAACTTGATACCCATTTGAGATAGAAACTATATCATGCAGCCGATGGCTCCCTACTATTCTGTCATTGCATAGGTATTGTTCATAAAGGATAGCTCAATACTTGACTAATGGTTATCATATCATTATAAATTTCATTCTTGTAGTTTAGTTTATATAAGAGCACATATATAACGTATATCAAAGGTCCAAGAATTTATAGGAAAGCCATACATGTCTTAAAATTGCATTCATCATCTCAGTAGTTTTTATAATATTATAACGCATCAAAAAATAAGAAGTCGTCAATACCTTGCTTGTGATTCAATTGAATGTGAAAGCATGGATAGCAACTCCCTTGCAGTTGCATGATCGTTTACAGCTACAATATCTACATGAAAATTTTCATGAAGAGTCATACGATTAGAAAAGACATTTGACTTGAGTTCATATTTAACACGACTCCAGAAACACATTCCACAACAGCATAAAATGGTTTATAAGAAAAGGATTATAGTCTCCTGATGAATCAGAAAATTTACATAAAGCATATGAAAAGGATTATAGTCACCAAATCAATCAGCAATATTATAAAGAGCAAAATAATGGTTTAACAAACAAGGCAAATTTTGAATTTCCAATATAGTAATAATAGTGCAGTTACCTGAACATTTGAAAACTCAATAACAACTTCTTTTAATTAAACAGTAATTATTGTTGATAATCAAACTTGGCTGAGATAATTTATTATTAACCATATTAATAATCACTATATGATGAATTAAATTTAACTAGCACTTACTGTAGTTTTTTAACTACATATATCCCCTCTCACTCAAGCATCTTTCCATCCCTCTATTTTCAGATAATTCAGGATTAATTAAATGATTATTATTTTATTATGTTTGCCTATGCAAATCTCCAGTTTCCTCTCCCTCTCTCATAACAACCTAACTACACGTCCTACATCATTGGAGAAAACCACCAACATTTGATAAGAAGCAAAGCAATAGTTTCTCACCTAACTCTTTACCTCTCCCTTGCCCCCTTCTCATCCATTTCACTCCCCCTCCTCCAGTGGTATTTTCCAAGGGGTCTCTTCACATTGCCACCATCCTCTGGAACACCAATAACAATAAGATTAGCCTTAAACCAAGAGAACTCCCCTCTCCCCTCTCCCCATTCGAAGCTAATACTAGAGAAGGAAGAGAAAGAAGGCAGGCAATGAGGGCTAGGGAGGAAGGGAGATTGCTGGTGGCTGCAACCTTTGAGACAAACACCAAAAATAAAAGGTTAACCACAAACCAAGGTTGACCATTATCTCCTTCCTACTCTTCCCTCTATTGTACTCCTAAACGCTGCACCAAAAACCTCCCTTTTCGGCAATGTTATCAATGTCATTCATATAAGTGGCAACCAATGAATCCTCTAAAAATATAGTTAACGCTGCATAAGATCAAAGATCTTGATATTTTTGAAGAAGCCAAAGAAGAGAAAATATTAGATTAATTCTTTAAAAGGCAATGTTGGTTATCTCATCATCAAATATAAGCTTGCAAAATGTTATAAACATCAAGATTTCACCAAGAGAGGTTGAATTACAAACAAGCCTCTGAGGGAAAGATGATAGCTCTCTTGCACATACCATATGCCTTAAAAATACGCCAAAAGCAATAGGTAACATAATTTTAAACCAAAATTGAAAATACGTTAAACCCAGGTTATAACTTAATCAGTCGTAGGCTAAAGTCATCAATGTCCTCATTAGCCAAATTCCAATCTTTTTTTGGGGTTATTATTAGAAATTTTTTTTTCATTCACCATAGTTAAGTATTGTATGAAGTGCTAACTGTTAGTTTAGGTGTGCAGATGGTCCGCTGGTTTGATCTACTAAAATAGAAAAATACTCCATGCAAGGCACGTATAATAAGAGATAAAAAATTATAGATAATTATTTACTTGTTTTATCATTTACACACACACACCCACATTTATATGTATGTATATGGCTACAAAAACTATATAGAAAGTGAGATGTTTTGTTACATGCCATTTGCAGATAATATACTTCTATTAGTTTAGACCTCTTTGGAAGTAAAAATTAGAATAATGGAGTATTTTTAAGAAGATAATCAGATTATGGATAGTAGATAAAGGACAGAGTGTATGATGTATGACTTCAGGGAACTTCAAGACAGTAGTTATTTGGTGATATGATTGAAGGATCAAGTGATAAAAAAATTTAACCAATTTATGGACACTAGATTTACTATCCAAGAGAATATCTCACTTTTAATATAATTTTGGTAGACATTTTCATTACCAATATAACAGTTTGAATATAATTCATCCCCATTATAATCTCATTGAAGTTAAAAGCTCCTTGGCCACTCACAACCAATTACAATATTAGTCAAGGCTCCATCTTGCATGTACATATCATATTGAGCATAGCTTTGACATAAAAATGTTCTCTAATACAACCATCGAATTAATTTTCCCATCCTTGATCATATATCTTCTTAAGATCCATGCAAACCATTTGAAAATCTTTTTATGCTCTCAATTCATTTAAGCCTTAACACAAAATAGCATCCACAACAATTTTCAGCTTATAAAATCAAATTGATCCCTGCAAATTGAAGCATTTTCAACTAGATTAGCATCATAATCCTCTCCAATAATTTCATTGTATGACCAAAAGCTTTGTTCCATAAAAGTATCACAATCATACTCATCTCATTAATTCTGAAAAAATATACCAAACATTTCATCTCCAATAATTTGACATTCTTGTAACTGTAAGGCCTAATTACAAAAATTATAAAGCAACATACTAAGAAAAGCCATAAAAAATTTCTGAAGTTAAATAGATATTATATCTAAACGTAGAGCATATTTTAAATTTCCATATTATATCTCCAATAACCCCATTGTATAATCAGGCATATTTTCTTTGATCAATCATAGAGCACTTCATGATTCTAAAAATTTTGCTTTGCAAAAGATGGCTTCCTTAGCCTTTTTATATTTTATTAAAATTTTCATCTTTAATTAAGATAATGTAATTATTACTTTAAGACATTAAAGTTTAAACTTGATCAAATCCTGTAAATCTCAATTTTCTTAACTTAGTTATTTTATGAAATTATTTTTCAACTTTAATGCACAAAAGTACGAAACAATTATAAGAAGTTGGAGCTTTGGATTTACTCCTCTTTGCAATAGTTTACATAAAATTACAGTTTGCCTCAAATGTGTTTACCTTTTGGCATTCTAGTGACAGCAAGGTTCTTTATTCACAAACCCTCGTGGCTTCTTAATCTAACACCAATTCCATATTTATAAAAGATCTAATTCTGGACTATATAGAATTTCTACAATCATCCTCTTAATGTTAAAAGTGGTGTTAAATTATGTTATCCCCATTATAAACCCACAACCCTAAGATACTTCATAAAACATAGGTGTCATTTTATTTGGTAGATGTGAAACCAAAGCAGGTAAAAACTTGTCTTAGGAAGAACATAAGGAGTATATAACACACTTGAGATAATAATTTTCAATTTAAATTTAAAAATTACTATGATATAAATCTAATTGCTGCAAATTTAAATAAATAATGATGCATCCATAAACATAGATGCAACTTAGAAAATTGAAGGAAAATAATGAGCAGTAGTTCACTGCTATTTTTTTCATCTTCTTTGATTATGAATGAGAAATGATATCAACACATCAGCATAAATATTACCATTAGTGAAGAGAAAAAAAAAGGAAGGTCTTGAATGCTTTAGTAACAGAACCTAATTTAAAAGAAAGGCTACTGAGAACTACATAAATTCCACCGAAAATCAACCGGCATCTTTAATAGCCTCCAGTGTCGAACAATTCTAGTGGAAAATACTCAAGCAAGATTACAGTTCTGAAAATTTACACATTTCAAGTAATTAATACCTTCGGGCTCCAAGAATAAGGGCTTCAGTGAGTAATGTTTTTTTGCTTCAGCTTATTAAACCAAAGGTGTGGTTCTCCGGGTTAACTGAGCCATTAAGAAATCATGTTTGTCGGCCACAGTCATGACAGTTTTAAACTAACAAAAAATTGAAAAATACCACAAGACTATAAGCATCTCAAGCAACAAATTCTTTCTTTCCCAAGCCCTTTAATTGAGACCCTAAATTTATAGAGAAAAAGAAACAGGAAGGAAAATGAAAAATCCCACAAGACTATAAGCATCTCAAGCAACAAATTCTTTCTTTCTCAAGCCCTTTAATTGAGACCCTAAATTTAACACTGTCGTTGCCGGTCCCAAACTCGGATGCGAAAAGTGGAGGGTTGCGTTAGGTAGACGACAGTCAGCGTAAAACTTGTCGAAAAAAATCATGACATTAATCCTTTTGATCATTGTGTAAGTGTTAGGGCGTCCCTGGAAGCGGCGCGCTGTATAGCTTGAATACACTGAAAAGTGTGCAAGGGCCGCTACACCGGCGCCCGGGTGTAGTGCTAAATAAGCAAGGGTGGGATCATTACGGGCGAATGCGGGTAAAGAAGTTAGTCCATGAAACTAATGAAACTAATATTAGGATAGGATCTTGGAATATAGACACTCTCAATGATAAATTAATGGAATTAGTTGATATTATGATTCATAGGAAAATTAATATCTTATGTATTCAAGAAACCAAGTGGGTTGGAGAAAAGGCTAAGGAGATTGATAATTTAGGTTTTAAACTTTGGTATTCTGGTAAGAGTCGCACTAGAAATGGTGTAGGTGTAATTATAGATAAGAGTTTGAAAGATAACGTTGTAAAAATTAATAGAGTTGGTGATAGAATTATAGCCCTTAAGATTATCATTGATACTAAGATTTTTAATATTATAAGTGTTTATGCTCCTCAAGTAGGTTTAGATACAGAGTCTAAAGATAAATTTTGGAATGACTTAGAAGACTTAATACAAATGATACCTCTTGAAGAAAGAATTTTTATTGGAGGAGATTTAAATGGACATGTCGATAGAGTGGTAGAAGATTTCAGAAATATTCATGGTGGCTACGGTTTTGGAGTAACTAATGAAGAAGGTTGTCGGTCAACTTTTTCTTCGATTTGTGAGATTTATTTGAAAAATATGATATATGAAAATAATTTTTTGAGATTTAATTTAAGTATAAAAGATATATAGTTTGAGTTTTAAAAGTAGTGTGTTTTAGTTTTTTTTTTTTTTGAAAAATGAGACCAAATGGATCTCATTAGTCTGATAGTTTGCATAATCGTGCCTGATACCGCGAATACTACACCTTCCCGAGAGATAAGTGTAGACATCAGCGATGTTCTCTTCGGAGGGCACTAAGAGATTTGTGACATCCGTTTGGTCTGCGAACCTTTTATATATGACCGACAAATTCCCCTATTTAATACAAAGATTAAATAGGGTTTATTTTACCTGGGTTCCAAGTTCCCTATAGAGGCAAGCCCCTATAGTTAATTACATCCCAAATGACGGGAGTCACTTGAGAAAACTCTCGATAATGATCAATGGTTCTAGTCTTCAAGAATTCAAGGTTCAGGTTTTCAAGGTAGGACGTAGAAAATCAAGTGGGAATGGCTCAATGCGGAACACTTATTTTTAGGAGTCCAGAGGAAGAAGAAGGTAGGGGATGAGATACAATATAAGAAGTTATGTTATAAAAATTGGTTTAAATGTAAAAGCTTAGAGAACTGGAGAAAATATCAAACGGCTCGCAGGGAGTCTAAAAGAACAATCTGTGATGCTAAAAATTCATCTTTTAATGATCTTTATAATAGATTAGATACTAAGGGGGTGAAAAATATATGTATAAACTAGTCAAATAAAGAGAAAAGAAAAGTAAAGATTTAACTCAAGTAAAGTGTATTAAAGATGAAAATCAAAAAGTACTTTTCTTAGAAAAAGATATTCAACATAGGTGGGTGAGTTACTTTGATAAACTTTTTAATGAAGTTTCTGAAAATACGATCGAACTTAGTGATTTTAATATCGTAAATAATAATAAAACGTTTCATTTTTACCGTCGCATTAGCAAAAAAGAAGTTGAGGAGGCTTTAAAGAAAACCAAGGGTGGAAAGTCTGTAGGTCCTGATGATATCCCAATTGAAGTGTGGAAATATTTGGGAGATTTGGGAGTTTCTTGGCTTACTAAACTCTTTAATATTATTTTAAAAACTAAAAAGATGCCTGAGGAGTGGAGGAAGAGTATTTTGATCCCCATTTTTAAGAATAAAGGGGATGCACAAGAGTGTGCAAATTATAGAGGAATTAAGTTGATGTGTCATACTTTAAAATTATGGGAGAGGGTAATTGAACATAGGTTAAGATGCATCACGAAAATTTCTCATAATCAATTTGGATTTATGCCTGGCAGGTCTACTATGGAAGCTATACATTTATTGAGAGGTTTGATGGAGAAGTTCAGAGATAATAAGGAGAATCTACATTTGATTTTTATTGATTTAGAAAAAGCTTACGATAAGGTTCCAAGAGATATCCTTTGGAGAGTTCTCGAGAAGAAATGTGTTGATATGATTTATATTCAAGTCATTAATAAAATGTATACTAGAGCTCTTACTTGTGTTCAAACTGAAGGAGGATTAACAAAATATTTTCCTATTTCTATTGGATTACATCAGGGATCGGCTTTAAGCCCATATCTTTTTGCTTTAGTTATGGATGGTCTTACTGGACATCTACAAGAGGATGTACCTTGGTGTATGCTTTTTGCTGATAATATTCTTCTCGTGGATAAAACGAGAGAAAAAGTCCAGAAAAAACTTGAATTATGGAGGTCTACATTGGAGTCTAAAGGCCTTCGTTTAAGTAGAACTAAAACTGAATACATGGAATGTAATTTTAGTAGTATCATTTCCTTTTCTAGGGTCTTAGGATCTAGCTCTAGGAGTTCATATTGACCATCTTAGAAAACTAGAATTGAGACTCACCCTTCTAGAAATTCTAGTCAATTCCTATTTTCCTTTGATGTCTAGCATCTTTGGCACAAGACCATCGTCTTATGAACGAGCGGTTATGGGCTATGTTGCATAGATTCAAGGAAAATGTTCCAAATAAGACTTCAAGCCTTAGAAAAACATCGTCACGACCTTTTTCGTCACATACACACATCAAATACACAAAGTTCACGAAATTACACGAAATCGGACTTCAATTAAGCCCAAAGGACGGGTGAAAATGCGAACTTCTCGGGATGACTTCCGAAGACAAAATGGACTGCGTCAATGCGTCCGGGACACAAATTTTGGTAGGAAAGGACACCCATATTGCCATACTTTCGACACGAGAAAATTCCTTCTTTTTTTTTTTTTTTATGCTTTTGGTTTTACTTTTGAATGAAAATATGACACTAAATAGGACGCAATGGAGAAAAAGGATTCATGTAGCCGACCCCACGCAGTGGGATTAAGGCTTTGTTGTTGTTGTTGTTGTTGTTGTTGTTGAGAGTTTGAAATGAGAAAAGAAAACGAACAATGATGGTTCTCTTCCAAACATTTGCACAAGGCTTTGTTGTTGTTGTTGTTGTTGTTGTTGGGAGTTTGAAATGAGAAAAGAAAACGAACAATGATTGTTCTCTTCCAAACATTTGCAGAGAATAAAGAGAATTGAATTCTCATAAATATTTTCTTACTGAAACCTAAAGGGCTCTTTGGTTCAATATTATTGATACATTAGTGTTATTAAGATGTCATCAATCATCATTATTAAATGTTATTGTTATTTGTTAAATTCAATGTATTTGGTTCATTGTTATTATATTGAGATGCCAATGCTATCCATAGAAAAACGTAATGGCGCAGTTCTTCAGATATCATGATATAAGACCTTGGAGGATTAAAAAAGAGGTCATAAATGCTATTTAAAAAGGTGAGTAAGCCAATCAACTGACAGATTTAAATAGCAAGACATTACAGTTATCAATGAATCAAACATACCCTAAATTCCCACCAAAGAAAAATATTTATTCCAACACAATCCTAACAGATCCATCTTTCTCCATATGAAAGAATGTAAATCTAATTAATCATAACATATTTTTTCATTTCATTTCGTTTTAGACACATTAAGCAACGTATGAATACTTTTATCTCTCTCCTAAAACTCTCAGTCGAAAAGAAAATAAGGCATCCTACATTTTCCTTTCTCTCTCCCTCCACCCTAAAATCTGTTATTTTCTTCCGTCAACTCCTCATCAAAGTTTATGTTCTGAGAGAGTTCCCTATGGTAAAAGGCGAGAGATGCAAATAACATAATCTCATCCAAAATTTCGTCAAAACGCTGAAGATCGAGAGAGATGCGGCACGGAAACGAATGATCGGATGTAACTGCAAGTTAAAAAAAAAACCTAAAACATAGAGCATTGAGGGTAGTAAAAATAACGAAGGAAATAATTCACCGCAGTATCGAGCGTAGATCTGGCGGATATCTAGCTGTTTAGGTCCCAATGAATTCATCCTTCATCCGGGAACCCGGCTCGAATTACGATTTCCTATACCAGTCACTGCTCGAAGTAAAACTCGAACCGCGTAATGAAAGAATATATAAAGAAGCAAGAGAAAAAAATCTTCTCCCTTCCCTTAGGGCTCAGAGCTATTTGAGTAAAAGCTCGGACGCGGGAGAAGGAATGGCAGAGTTGCCAGTTACGCCACGGTGAAGGAGTAACTGCGAGGATGTCTCGCCTCCGTTCCGTCGTAGAGACCGCCGAGCGCCGTTGGCTTGGCCGATCAACTTCTCAGAGAAGAGCTTCTACCGAAAACTCATTTAGTGACCTTCGTTCCGGTGCTTCGGACGTCCCTTCGGCTATTTCGGAAATGGAAAGGTTCAAAATACCCTCAAATGGTGAAGGACTCCTTCTCCGGCTCCGCAGAAGGCTTATCGACGGCGAAAGCGAAGGATGCGTTCAGGATCCCGGATAGAGCAACGGGTAGATCCCATACAAATTTGTCGGCGTCGGCGATATCGTCCCGCCGATGCGCGGTCTATGTGCAATGAGGAGCCATATCAGGAAATTTTAAGTAACGATGAATGAATTCAATTTCTATTTTTCTTTGGCCGAGCCAGGAAATTTTTGAGGACCTTCACGAAAAAATTATTACTTACCGGCAACCCCTTGTACGCTGCTTTATATATAAATGTATATGAAATTCGTCTGCATGCAAAAAAATTTTATAATTGAGCAGAAGTGGGAGAAGTTGCACTACAATTTAGGTTTTTAAAACATTTAATTTTTTGTATTATTGTACGCATCAAAATTATCGGCACCAATCTTAAAGCAATTAAACGGATAAAAATAATGACTCAACGTACATTAAATTCAAGAGACATGATTTGGACCGATGATCTGAAAGATCAACAGACTGATCAAGTCCACTAACATACATTATCGATGAAACCGGTCGACAGACTTATCCACGCTCCCAACCACCGACACTTCCTAAAAGTCGGTTGAACACAACCGTCCGACCGACCACTTATGTCTCGGCAGAAACGACAGCCACGACGCCCGTCGCTTTGATCAACCAAACAAAAACATGTCGACCGGCTGATTATTGTCATATCCAAATTTAAATTGTACTATTAATTTAGTATCAAATCAGCACATTGATTGCATTAAGTGTGGTTCCCATAGCAATCCCTCATTTATGTAATTGTATGAATACGCTCCTATAAATAGGAGGCAAAATAATGAATAAAGGGGCCCCGACTCCCTACCGAGAATTCTCTAACGCTTGTCTTCTTTCTCTTTCTCCTTCTCCCTACTCTAACTCTTAGAGTGTGTATTTCCAAAAGACAATTTCGGATTCAATATCCTAAAAAGTGGTGCAGTGAGTGTGGACATGCCACATACGAGAAGCTGGGCAAACTACGATGGAGAATCCTTGCTGAGAGAAATAGCGCACATGGTATTCAATAGAGAGACGGTGCATCGAAGCATATAGAAAGAGGTCCAGTGATTGTGAGCACAAATAACGGACCAATTCGAATAGAACACATAAAATTTTCCAAATTCAAATGAAGATATTGATTGGCAGCAATCACTTAATAACGTTGTTTATGTTAAAGTTGTTTTTAATCTGGGGTAGACCAGCCTCTTTTTAAAGGAGGGCAAACTATCTCGTTAGACCCAACGCAGGCGGGGTTAGGACAACGAAGAGTAAAATCATATTTTAAGAGAGACAAAAACTAATATTTTAGAATGGGCAAAAAGATCAAATTGCCGTCTAATGTAAGTAAAAAATTTAAATTTGAAGGGAGATGGGTTGGGCAATTTCCCCCTAGACCTATCTCGATTTGTCCCTGTTTTTAAATGAGCTTTTTTGAAAGAAGAAGCTCCCCAAACAAAGGTGGATGGTGTGAATTGTACCGCAAGAGGTTTTATCAGGACAGTTAATTTTTTATATAGCCAAATACTTGCCACTTAAGGGAACAAATTCTCTCCCAAATGAAACGCATCTTCAATTAACATTATCTATTGCTAATATAGATTGGCATCGAAAATTGAAGGTAGATAACTAATCAATTAAATATTTTATGACTTATACTGAAAAGAGTTAAATTATTTATAAGCATAACATGTATATCGTTTGGATCCCCGAGTCTTAGCCTTACTCTCCTTCTTATAAATTTGACTTGGTTTGGATATGTTATATGATATGTTATATGCAAATAAAATAAATAAATTAAATAAAATTTAAATTTGACTTGGTTTGGATATGTTATATGATATGCTATATGCAAATAAAATAAATAAAATAAAATAAAATAAAATAATTGACTTTTGAAATCTAATGTTTGGCCTATTAAGACAGCAAATGAGAGCCTTCATTTAAATTGATGAACAATACTTGGTGTTTGTTGTGCCGACAATTTGACGAGGTCTGGTAACGTGATTGATAGAGTTCGACATAATGATCATTCTATACGTAATATATGGCAAATTTCTTCTCATCTTCTTTGTAGGACTCTCACAACCAAGGATCATTATACTTTTGCCCAACTTCACAGTGTTTAAGAAAATTGAGGAAAGACTTTGGCATGACTCCACAAAAGTTCAAATTGTAGCTAATAACCATCAAATAGATTTTTTTCAGATCGAGCGACTCCCCAAATTATCAAATCATATTAAAATAATAAGGGCTAAAACATTAATCTTTTTTATGCCTCTCGTTACGTCTTTATAACAATACAAAAGCCATTAAAATTCACCAACACTTCTAAAATTCATTCAAACACACACCCCACTATATTGTTAAAATTCTCTATATATCCCTTATTTATATTTTTTAAATATATTCTCAGATATATAAAATTTATACCCTATAAATATTTTTAAAATAATTAATTTAAATACCTATAATAGAATTTTTTTTTATCTCCACCTCGATTCAAAGAGTCAAATTGTACAAGAGGAATGCGTCTACACGAATCTCGAGGAGGTGATTGGAGACAAATAAGCCTTAATTTCGTGCTTGGGGCACGTATCATGAGGTTCGATTGGATGTCTTGCACGGCGGAAAATTGTACATAATCTTGTACTATTTCAATAAAAACTCATCGTAAATGACATAAAAAATTGATGCCAACACACCTAGAACATTCAAGTCGATTATTAAAATGGTTCGTGGAGCTCGGTGAATATGACCTTACTTACGTGCCTCGGACGACAATCGATTCTTAAGTTGTGGTGGACTTCTTGGTTGATTTCTCATATTTGGGCGGATCAAGTGAAGGTCATGGGGCAGAAATGCAAGTATGGATATTTAGCATGTATGAGGTTTCGAGCCAAAATAAAGCAGGAATTGGGTTGCCTTTAAGTTGTCTGACCGGAGAGCATATTTATTATTCGGACATCCTTGATTTCGCTATCACAAATAATCAAGCATAATTGGAAGCGTTGATAGATGGGCTTCTATTAGCTTAAGAAGTGGGCGTGTTATATCTAACAGTGTAATATGATTCTCAACTAATTGTCAACCAGGTTAACGGGGAATTCAAAGCTCGAGATGATGATCAAATACTTTAATAAAGTAAAAAATGGAATTGGTAAGTTCATAAGCCTCTGTATTGAAAGTGTTCGACAAGAAGAGAATCAAGTGTTTGACTTCTTATAAGAAAATGCATGTGCTGGGAATAGAGTTCCCCAAAAGCTTCTTCGATTGTCCATTGAAGAGTGGTAGGTAATGGAAATGGAAGCGGGTGATACAAAAAGCTAGGTGGAACCTTGTATCCACTACTTCAAAACAGGCAAAATTCATGAAGCAGTAACAAATCTGCGAAGATTCAAGTTTAAAGTCGTCCAATATCTTCTCATTGGATATGCATTATTCCAAAGATAAACTACATCGTTTCTTTTAAGATGTTTCAAAGAGAATGAAGTGGAAGAAATCCTTCAGAAACTACATTCAAACGAATGAGGATGTCATTCAGTAAGAAAAACTATGGCTTATTGAGTACAAAGACAATGTTATTTTTGGGCGACCCATATAAAAGATGCAAAACGAGTTTCCAGAAAATGTGAACAATGTAAGAAATATGCTCCGCTACAACACCAACCGGCTCACAAATTACAGTTAATTGCTAGCCCTTAACCATTCCTTGTGTTAGGACTGGATATTCTCGGCCCATTTCCGCCTTCTAAGGGATAAAGGAAATTTCTTTTAGTCACCATAAATTATTTTTTAAAATAGATAGAAGCTAAAGCTCTTGCTCGAATTACTACAAGCATGAAATTTTATCTGGATAGAAATAATTTTTCGACATGGCATACTCCTAATTCTCATTACAGATAATGAAACCTAATTTGTTGATCAGAGGGTGAGAGGTTTCTTCCAGAGCGAAGGAAATTAACTTGAAGTTCTCATCCATACATCACCCCAAAACCAATGGTCAAGTTGAAGCTATAGACAAAATCATCCTAAAATTACTAAGGAAGAAGGTTAAAGGTGCAAAAGTTATATGGGCTAATATGCTTCCTTCAGTCCATTTTGTCGTCCGAACTACTTCAACAAAATTAAACAAACAAACGTCAGACATGATTTCCCACAAAATGGAAGTCATGTTACCGGTTGAATATAATCATCATAGCTAAAGAGTAATCACTGCAACATCTTTTGACGAGGATGAGCTCATTAACTGGCAAGGTGCAAATCAGGAAGAAGCTTCACTCGTTCTTCATCTGTTTGAAGAAATTTGAACGAATGCTGCTCTGCAACTAGAAAAAATGAAAGGAAGGATAGTTTGCTACTATAACAAACATGTATCTGAAAAGACATTTTTTTTTACTGATCTAGTTCTAAAATAAGTCGATCCAGCCGCAGGGGTCAATCATTCGGTAAGCTTAATCAAACATGGACCATCATATTCATCATCGACCAACAAGTTACTTCGGGTATGTATAAGGTAAAAACATACATGGGTAAAGTCCTTCCACGAACATGGAGTGAGGATGACATAAAAAAAATTTTATCTATAAACAAAACAATTACTTTTGTATCTACGATCAAATTTTAGAAGAATATTATCGTTTGATTTAATTTCTTTGTGAAAGTTGTTTGTAATTTGTTAAATAAAAAAAGGAAATATTTGGAGAACTCAAACATTCTACAAAAAGACCCGAAAGAATTATGATGCTTAGTCACATCAAAGATGACCGAAAAGCATTTTGACATTTGGTCACAAAAAGAAGATTGAAAAGCATTTTGATGCTTAGTCGTAGCAAGACGACCGAATAGAGTTCTGATGTTAGGTCGTAGAAAGACAACTGAAAAGCGATCTGACGCTTGGTCGCAACAAGATAAACGAAAAAAGTTTTAATGCTTAGTCACAAAAAAAGACTAAAAAGCATTGCGACGCTTGGTTGCAATGAGGGCGACAAAAAGGCATTATCACGCTTATTCACAAATGAAATGACTGAAAAATGCCCTAAAAAAGGGTTACCGAGATACAAACTACGACATTCCAAAAAAGCGAATATAAAATATAGAAATTTTTTCTAAGGGTCTAAAATTGCATTTAACGAAGATTTTTTATTTCAAAGAAAAAGAGGTGAATTATATAAATGAAGCAACCATGATCGTAAAAAACCACCACATGCAAATGTATGATCGCATG